GACTCAGAAGGATGTCACCAATGATCCCGGCCCAAACATTTATTGGAAATTCTTGGATTTCTTGGTAAAATGGTACAGTAAAAGCTCCTGAATAGACGTCGCATGATAAGGATGGAGAAGCTGCTGTCTTATGATGCGATTAATTGTACTTTTTGGTATGCCAAATTTAGCTGTCAGAAGACGAATATTTAAAACGTCTCCCTCAACTGCTGCATTTCATACTTGAGGACAAACCACACAGTCAACGGCTCGAACACCAAATTGCCCAGTCTCCCGCACTCTTTTCAATCCGTGTAAATCGTAATTTGGAACCCGTCGATTTGGGTATCGTGCCGCGTAGCCGCGTACACTCCCACCCAAGATGTCTTTCAAAACCCGAAGACTTTGATCAGTCGGTCATCTCTTCATTAGAAAACGCCATTCGAAACGAGTTGATTGACAATTATTCATTTATTATAAAATTACATCATTACTTACCACGATAGTAGTAATTGTAGTGAGTAGTTGTACTTTAGTAGTGATAATGATTGTCTAAAAGTGAAAAAAAATTTTTGCGTAAAAACTATGAATGCTACAAGATTTTACCAAGAGCACGAAAATCTCGAAAAAGGACTGATGCATCAATAAAAATAACATGAATTAATTCTAGCGACCAAATAAAAAGTTCTGGTAATTCTTGTACCAAGACACTCAAGAATTTACGACTAGTCCAAGGCAGATGGACGCGGTTGCTTCATCAAAACATGAGTTTTACTTAGGAACAAGTCCACAGCAAGTTTCATTAAAATCCATCGTAACATTCACCAGATATTACAAAAAATAATTTTTTTTTTTCAAGAACTTTGACAGTCAATAGCAGAGGAACCAGACATTTTTTCTTAATGAAAGTTAGGTCAAATCGTCTTCTTTTAAGCCAAAGAATGTCGCAGTACCTTTTTGATCATGTGCTTATGGGACACCCTGTATAAAGCATCTAATAGTTTCTATACTAGATTCAGAAAGGTGTATTTGAGTAATTACTCTATAATATATATTACTATAATAATTATTATAATTAATGATATAAACTCAGAGTTAAAAAATTACTGGAAAAACTCCTCGTATGTTCTATTTTCACATTACAAATTTAAGTATCCATTCCATAATACAATTAGTCGCTAAAATTTTCATGAAACTGAATCACGGTAATATGGTTTTTAGAATAACTGTTGCAAACATATTTTTATGTGTACGAGAGCCAGTTTATACACAGGGCATGTGAAATCAATATTGTAACTAATATTGTATTTTGAGAATGTGTATTTATTTGTCAAAATAAACAAGTAGGTATCAAAATATTTATAAACAAACAAATCTTAGTGTCGTGAAGCCAAAAGTCCTTTGATAAAAGTTGCCACTGGCACCGCTCGCTTACACGTGCCACTATGGCCTTTGATAAATCTGACATTAAACTTAAAAAACCTGAATGAATTTTTACGAATAGCAAATGAGCTTTGAGATTTCATAAAAATTGATCCGTGTATGAAGTCTTGTTGTTAAAAATAGAAGCAAACTGATTATGCCACACCTGAATATCAATCCGAATTAAAAGGCCTTTTAATAGCTGCAAAACAAGAAAAAATCGAAAGTTCTTTAAACCATTGCCTAAACCTGATAATAATAATATTATTAAAATTTATCTCAATAAATTACTTTGATTATATTTTTTTATTATTTTGCAACATTGGAACGTCCCCTATATTTCCATACAAAATGCCACACTTCCGTATTCGCGGTACATTTTCGGAACGTATCCCCTGCGAATAAGGAGCTTTGACTTTACTTATTTTTGTTTAAATTTTTATATTAATTAAAACTATATAAACAAATGAATAGTAATAATAATGTAATTTTTGAACCTTACAGCATGCAGCAAGAATTGGGGGGGGGGGCGGTAGACTCCCTGCCCCCCTCTCTACGCCCATGAACACACAGTAAAAAATAATAGCCACAATTTATTTGCAATTATTATTGCATCGTACAAACCATACATAATTTTTGTTTAATAATCATTCAAATTTATTAAATATACACGACACATATAAGGAATGTAGAATATATCAATGGTCTACAAAGCAGGAACTTAGTATTAATAATAATATTTAATAATAATTGTACATTAAATCAAGTCTTAGTTTATCAACTTATTGATATTAATATTATAATAAAAAGTTGTTTATGTTTATCACAATTAAAAAAGAAAATTAAAATAATGGAGCATTTTACTGGCAGCTTTTCTTCAAGTTTGCTGGTGAATAAAAAAACTTCAATACGACAATGTACAATAAAGGTTACAAAATAGGTATTTATAAATTTTCACTAACGAGTATTTACTATCTTATAAGTACATAGTCGCAAAATTATCTTTTTTCTAGAAAGTAGAATAAAACTAAATTGTCTCAAAAATACCCATTCAAATAATATATACTAAAACCGTTTTAAGATTGCCATTACGTCACGAGTGTCGTGAGTGAGTGAGACAGTCATTGCAGATGTCAATTCATTACTTGTTAATCGCGCCAAAAAGACACAATGATGGTCTTCATAGTCTCAATCTATCACAGACAATCGTTCCAATATTTTATATGTATTAGAGTGAAAGAAAATGGTGGATATTTGTTGGGTATTAGTTTTAGTTTTAGACAGTAGTTTGATTAGCGCAGTTAAAACAAAACAGAGCTGACATTCAGATTAAAACTGAACTAACTAACTGTTGTTTATATTTTCTGAGTGTTGAAATATCGATTTTTTGGCATATTTTCATAACTAGTAATACCAGTACAGTATAATCTCTATAATCCGGCACTTCACTACACCGGCACGTCCAGTAATCCGGCGTTATTTTTTCCGCGTTTGTTTACTATTCTTGAAGAATACAGTATACAGTTATAGTTTAGTTGAAAGATACATTACATTACAATATACATACAGGATGTCCCGAAATTTATGCAACAAAATTTGGTCACAGATTCTTAGGACAAATTTAGGGGACCCCTATTTTTTATTTTTGCCAAGTGGCCCCCTCTTTCGGAGTTACAGCCCCCTGAAGTCCGCCCCTAAGAAAGAATATTTTTTTTATATCTCAGAACCCTGTTGTACGAGAATCACTAAATTTGGTACACAGGGGTTTTATGACATGTGGAATCTAATGGTGCTACGTTTTTTGACGGGGAACCCCCTAAGACAATTTTTCGTGGGCCCCCTTGTCTTTGGAGCCAAAAAAATTTGGTCGCATATTTAAATTTCTTAAAAATTATCAGTCCACTAGAAAGCCATTAAATTTAGAAACTTTTTGTCTCTTTATACTTTTTTCGTAAAAAGCAATGTTTTCGAGAAAAATGTCAAAATGTGATCGAATGCATATCGTGATTTCCCATTTTCCTAAAAAACATTGCGTTTTACGAAACAAATATCAAGGGACAAAAAAGTTTCTAAATTCAATGGCTTTCTAGCTAACTAATAATTAAAAAAAAAATCAAATTTGCGACCAAATTTTTCTGGTTTCAAAGACAAGGGGGCCCACGAAAAAGTGTCTTAAGGGGATTTCTCGCAAAAAAGCGTAGCACTGTGAGATTCCACATGTCATAAAACCCCTATGAACCAAATTTAGTGATTCTCGTACAACATGGTTTTGAGATATAAAAAAGACTTCTTAGGGGCAGATTTCAGGGTGCTGTAACTCCGAAAGTGGGGGCCAGTTGGCAAAAAGAAAAAATACGGGTCCCCTAAATTTGTCTTGAGAATCTATGACCAAATTTTGTTGCATGAATTTCGGGACACCCAGTATATATGCATATACAACTGTAATATGTATGTATCTATGTACCAATCTTTTTGTTAATAAACAATTAAAAGTAACGTTTTTTTAATTTAATACTGTTTACATATACATTTTCCATTAATCCGAATTTTCCAGTACTCCGGCACTCTTCGGTTTTTAATGGTGCCAGATTAGTGAGATTGTACTGTATTGAAATTCGGGAGATAACCAGATTTGGGAATTGTCAAGATGACATTTCAATTATATGAAAACAGTGACTAATTTGACTAGGATTTTTCGTCTTAGATCATATGAATATTGCTTGTGACACAATGGAAAAGATACAACGGTTTTAGTTTACATATGTATTTGGTTTGATCTACGTCATTTATATCTTTTTATTACTGACTTTACAAATATAATTAGTTACATATTTTGCGAGCTCATTTTTCAAAAATATAATAAATGTATTATCATCAATATTGTGACGATTGATTATGAAAATAATATATTTTATTATAAAAAATGTTTGTGTTCCAATTTCATTACCAAAATATGACCATTTCAATTTTTACACTAATATATTTTATAGATATCAAAGATTTTATTAAATACAGAGATTATACATGTTTCTTATCAACGGTATTAAATGTTTTATGTATATGTATTTTATTATGGTACTGAGCAAATATTAGACATTTTTTTGCAAAGAATTTTTTATGAAATTATTGAGGCTTGAAATCAAAATATTTACTTCATGGTTGAAAACAGGCACAGTTATAGTTTTTCCGAAACCAATTGAAGAACCTATAATTTTTTACCACCAATATAATAAAATTGTTTGAGGACATGAATAATTAAAATATGTTGTTGGCCAAATGAACATATAATAACGAGCATTCAAATAAAAACGTGGTCGAAGTTGGCTCTGACACATTGGACGTAGGGCGTAGCTTATAGCGACCAACTTAACCTCATTTCTCAACGAGCTGTATAGCAGCTGTCAGTTTCAATAACAAAGTGGCGATCCAAATTTTCAGAACCAACTTGACCACGTTTTTATTTGAACGCTCGTTATAAATTTTCTACATATTATATACAAATTATTATAATTTTTTAACTTTAGCAGAAAATTTTTTAGCCTATGAAACTAATTAAATTTTATTACCAGACGTTTTTTTGCATATTCAACTGACTTCGGAAGGACTATACCATATAGTTTACAGCTTTTTCTTAAAATAATGCCTCTGTTACATATACTATTTTTATGGCTCCATCCACATAAAAAGGATGAGAGTTTAATTTAAAAACTGCCAGTACAAATGCCATGTATTTTTTGATAACATGGGTAAAGTCATACTAGAAGCCCTATTTATTTGGAGGGATTGGAAAAACTAAAAACTAGACTCTGCTTCTTAGGTTGGTAATAGTTATCAATTTCACTACTTTTATTCTGAGAATAAATGGAATTGAGCAAAATTAAGAATAACAGTCATATGGAATCAAATTTCAGGAGGCAAAAATTGAGATGGAAGTATACGTCATCAACACTTGTTAATACATTTTCCCAAAAGATTTCACTCTCTTTTGATAAAGTCAATTTTTTCCAGGATTACTTAAGCAAATTATATAAGATTTTTCATCACGAAATATACAGAATACTGCAATGTAATTAATCACAGAATGTCAATTCTACAATGACTTTACCCAGCAACATAATAAATAATATTTTAAGGTAATCTATGAAGATCATGTACTGTGTATAATTTCTCTATTCTGGTATGAACAACTGCTGTAACTTCTAGTGTTTCAGGTAATAGATTCATTGCTTTCTGTATATTATCTAATTCACCACAAACCTTGAAAAAAAAACAAAATATTTATCCCTATAAGTTTTAAGCATTAATATTTATAGACACAAAAAAGAATTTTATATACTTATCACGTCAGGACTTTTCTCTAACCTCAAAAAATATAAACTCCTCAATAACGCACTTTAAAGAAAAAAGTACAAGAATAAATAGTTTTTATTTTGATCCAATTAACGTGTCTGTGCACTTTAATTTTAAAATATCGGAATACTGGATGTCCGTTTAGTATGTTTTTTTCCTTAAGATAGTTAGGTTTAGAGTTCATGATCTATTCCTTTACTTCCTATTAGTTTGACAGGTCCCAAATGTGTACTGTTGAAGGATACAAATTTTGTTGAAGTAAAGGACAACATAGAAAAAGCTGCATGGCTTAGGTTTAAAGTCTTGTTAAAAATTTCCTATACAAAAAAAAGTATAGAATGCAAGTGTTATAGTCGAACAGCTGGTGGAAAATTTAAAAAATTAGGGTGTTTAATGAATGAAAAACTGCACTTCTTACATTCTCATGTGAATTACTTTCCGAAAAATCTTGGACACTATAGCGATGAGCAAGGGGAAATATTTCACCAAGATATTCAAGAAATGGAACGAAGGTATCAAGGCAGAGAAATATTCCTGACACTGGAAAAAAGATCTTTTGAAAGCAAAAGAGTTCATTATCATAGAAGAAAGTAACTTGATAACACAAATTTTAAATGTAATATCAATGAAGGGATTTAAACACAAATTAGAATAATTGCATACACCATTATTTCTAAATTTAACAAAACCTACTGAGTCGAGTCTTAAAAGAACAGACAGGTCTAAACCACAAATATACTGTAACTCTACACTAACATAACCTGATGTAACAAACCATAAACTAATAAAAAGGAATATATCATGAGCTCTAAACTTAACTAACTTTTGGTTAAAAATGTCTATAACTTCACAAGGAGGCATTTTAGAGAAAAAAATGCAGGAATAAAAACTTTTTATTTTGACCCTTTTAACATGTTTGTGTACTTCAATCAAAAGATCAAAATCAAGATTTCCACAGATTTTGAGCTATTTTTTGATGTTAGGAGAAAATCCTGACATGATGGAGCGTTTCTGATGACTCCATCAACTTCAGCAGGTCAAAAATACAGGAAATATCACACTCTGTTATAAAGTATATATATTTTCTATGCCTATGTTATCAGATACATATCGACATATGTTTGCAATAATGGACTGAAATATATTAAACTAATAAATTAGTTCATACAAATTTTTCTCTCACATTTACCATCTAGCATGCTGTCAATATAGGAATGAAAAAAATTAAATATACCGGCAGTATTCTATTAAATTTAGTAGATATTCAATTTATGAACTAAATATCAAAATAGTATATTTTCAAATGGATTATGGAAAGTTGTAGAACACCTTACCTTTTTTAACAATATTTCTCTTGTAGGTAGAGTATATATAGCTACTTTTGCACCATTTCTTATTACAAATGGATGATGTTTAGCCAAAGTCTGATCATAAGCTTCTCGACATGCTGAAGAGGTGCTTTCTTCGTCTCTTAAATCGCCCAGCTTTTTTAAAAATAGTTGAATAAAATCTGAAAGATATGTATTTTTACAGATTAATTTGGTCAGTGTAAAAAACTTAGAAGATAGAACTTTAAGATTGCAAGTTTGCTTTAGAAATGTGTATTAAATTTAAAAAATAAATAAATAGTTTTTAGGCAGTAGTAACACAAATATTTTTTTGTTTATTTTTCATTATGTTTACTTACTTATATGAACATTAAACTTTTTGATAAGGGTTTATGATTAAAATTTTATTTAGATTGAAATATTTCTAATCTGCAAATTATAGGTATGGCAGTGAAAATTATATGAACTACTCGTATGTACTGCATTCTAAAGCTTTATAAAGTAAAAGATGACTCTTTCATTAATTACAGTGCTCCCTTTTATAAGTCAAATGACTCCAAAAATAATAAATCAGTTATAGAGATTTTTATCTAATGTATTAATTACAAAATGGTATTAAAAGTATAAACAAAAAAAAAATTATTACATCAAGACCAAACAAAACTTAACAAGAGTATTAACAATATTAAATATGTTTTTTGAAATTATTTTTTTCAACTTTCTTTCAGAATATCAAATAATGTGCTCCATTTGAAAAAAAAATAGATTTTTTACACTTTAGCTATGATATACAGGGTGATTAATTAACAATGGGAAAATCGGAAACTGAAGATACTACACGTGAATTGGTAACTATTGGCGCAAACATGCCTTATCCGAAAGTTGATAGTTTCAGATATACAGGTTGTTGAAAGTTAAAATTTTAAATCGTTTTTTTTTTGCGATTATTCTGAAAATATGTAGGTTAGGAACTTGAAAATTTGTAAACCTATATTTTTGTAAGTGACAAATAAGATGCGTTTTTCCATTAATTATGTACTCTTGTTTCATTTCGGGATCTCGATCCGTTTTTGAGAAAAATCGATTTAACGACCACTATGTCTTGATAATACGAGAAATTAAAAGCGAAACAAACTAAGTGTTTCTTCATGTTATTACAACAATTAACAATAAAACAAATGAAATACGTAATAATGATTTAAAGTAATTGTTCGAAGAATCCTCTGTTGACACTGATACACTTTACATAACGTTTTCTGAAAGATCTTCGAGCTCTTCAACATATTGGGATTGAGTCTGACTTCGTTGGTAGTGATTTGTATTCTTTGCCACAAGTCTTCATACGAACAATAGATTCTTTGTAAACGATATCTTTCATTCGAAGCCAAAAAGAAAAATCAAGATGATTGAAGTCCAGACTTCTGGGTGGCCAAGCAAAAATGCTTACATGGCCAATCCAGCGATTTGGAAAAACTGCATCTAAATATGCAGGCACTGGCCGAGAAAAATGCGGTGGAGCTCCATCGTGCATGAACCACATGCCTCTTCTTAAATAAAGTAGAACTTCTTCAAGCCGTGGAAGCATTTTTGCTTGGCCACCCAGAAGTTAGGACTTCAATCCCCTTAATTTTTCTATTTGGTCTCGAATGAAAGATATAGTTTACAAAGAATCTATTGGTTCAAGTGAAGAGTTATGGCAAAGAATATAAATTGCTACCAACAAAGTCAAACTCAATCCCAATATTTTGTTTCAAACTCGAAGATCTCTCAGAAAACGTTTTGTAAAGTGTCAACAGTGGATTCTTCGAACAATTACTTTAAATCATTATTACGTATTTCATTTGTTTTATTGTTAATTGTTGTAATAACATAAAGAAACACTTTTGTTTCACTTTTAATTTCTCGTATTATCAAGACATAGTGTTCGTTAAATCGATTTTTCTCGAAAACGAATAGAGATACCGAAATGAAACAAGAGTACATAATTAATGGAAAAATTATTGCTCTTTCAGGTTTTGAATCAAGTTTCATGTTAGACATACAGAGTAAAAAGTTATTAACTAAATTTTTGGTAAAATTGGTCATATGTGGCGCCCTCTATGAGCAACGCTGAAATTGCAACACGCATCTTATTCGTCGCTTAAAAAAATATAATTTCACAAATTTTCAAATTCCTAACCTATATATTTTCAGAATAATCACAAAAAAACGATTTAAAATTTTAACTTTCAACACCTTGTATTTCTGAAACTATCAACTTTCGGATAAGGCATGTTTGCGCCAATGGTCACCATTTCACGTGTAGTATCTTCAGCTCTCGATTTTCCCATTATTAATGAATCACCCTGTATACTTTCTGAATATTAATTTTAAAAAATATGCTAAATGAGCCCATTATCAGAGACAGACGACGAAAAATTGTCAACAAAAATGCGTTTTGTTACCATTTCAACTGTCCGTTGAAAGAAAAGAACATGTATCATATTGTTTTTGCATACAACCAACATAGGTATCTGACATCAGTGTGCAGCCAGTCGTATCCCAGGATGGACGATTCTATTAGCTATGGGCACTGACATAGAAAAATTAATTGGCAAGGTGCAAAAGCACCCTATTTTATAAAATATATCTTGCAGAGAACACCATGACAAAAATATTATTGTAGTGTGTGCACTGTGCATATATCGATGCCTAACAAAATATTGACTGAATGTTCTTGATCACTTAAAAATAGTGCACCCTCACTAATTGAACTACAGATTTGAATTTTAAAAGGTCTACTTCTTTTGTTAAGATAATTTTTTTTTTTCAATTTATGAATAGCTTCGAAACTCAAAAGTTCCTCTCTAACATGTTATCCATTCAGTACTAAATATATGGTTTAAGTAAATAGGTAGTTTAATTACTAACCTAGTCCTCTATGTAGTCGAAGTAATGTCCTGCTTCCTGATGTGTAACCTTTTTTATTTAATAATTCATTCTGCTTTTCGTATTCTATCATCTTCTTCACAGTAATGAAATTCTCTGATTTATTGGAGTCCTTTAAAAATTCATTTAATATGTCCATCTTGGCTTTTAAATCTTTACTTACAAATCCAAAAACGGTTCCCATTAATGTAAAAAATCTAAAACAATTGGCATAAGTAATATATAAATTTAATAAACTTTATATAATAAAAATATAATAGCTGTTTATAATTGGCAGAATAAAGAAAATATGAAATGACATGATTAAATAATTTTCATGAAAGAATAAAGCATTATTTCATTTTTCTTATTAAATAAATAAGATTTTTGAGGATAATTAAATTAGATGTCTATTGAAAATGTGTTGGTGATGACTAAGGTACGACGTTTTCACTAACATATGGCAGGGTGGATGAGGGAACAACACGCCGCCGCACCGTTAGGAATAACAAATAAAACCAGAATCGGCAAAAATCGGCATTCTAACGACAGCAGTAGGTAGGTAGTATCCGGTTACGTCGCAGTGTATCAGATATATGTTTTTTGTTTCTTCATTAGCGATGGAATTTTTTCAGTGTCTTAAAAAATAAATAAGTACATAGGTATGTCGATATTAGGTACATACTAACAAACAAGTGTTTCTTGTAGTAGAAACAATTCGTCGGTGTTACCCAAATGTAGATGAATTAATAGTACAGACCAAGGCAGTGTCTCTTAAATCACCGAAACGTATTCGTCAATTCACCAACAGTGTCTTGGCGTTCCAGAACCCCCACAACCCATTCTTATATGATGGGGAACATGGTTAGAGGAATCATTTCATTATTTTAAACATTTTCAAAAAATAAAATCCGTAATTTTACAATTCGATGCCAAAGAATCTGCTGCTATTTAGAAGAGTCAAATAAAATTTCAAGATAATCGAGTTGAAGCAGTTGGAAAATATTTTTACAACAATTACATTCCAATTGCAGATGCTATAAAAAAAACTTACAAAATACTGCATTATCGTTAGATGAATCAATGCAAATAGTAAATGACATACAAACAGTGCTATATGGCTTAAGTAATGAGAAAAGTGTTTACGTCAGAGAAAGTTTAATAATGTGTTAAGAAAAAAATCCAGATTTCTCCAGATTAAGACACCTTCATAGCAATAGCTCTCCCATGGATTCATTAATTGATTTTAGACATTACTTCAAATATGCACCTAAAGCGTCATTAGATATCGAACAATTGTTTTCGTTATTTAAGAATATTTTTTCTCCGTTGCCGACATCACTTAAAGAATCTACTGCAGAGATATATGTAATGTTCCAGATATTTGCCAGAGCTCATCCAGATTTTTAATATGAAACCGGGTAAGCATTCCACAATATTATAAAATTATTTATTATTATAAACACATTAGGTAATCCACGTGCGGACGTGCTTTTAAACTGCAAAAAGTAAATAACTGAACTGCCAATGCAAATGACGCCAAACGCATTTTTTTTATTCAAAACCTGCAACGATCAAAACATTCTACAAATCTGAACCAAGAATACTAAAAATATCTGAAATTTCATACTTTTCTTTCAAAAGTCAAAAAAGTCAAAGCATAAATAAGTTATGGTAAATTTTACCCCCCCTCCCCCCAGTTTTGGAACGTATATGAAAATTTGTAAATTTCGTTTTAGTAGCGGACTAAGTACGTAAGAGTAAAGCTAGTTACCAAATTTCATAAATTTATCTCGACCAGTTTCGGAGTTATTTACAAAAAAAAAACATCATCAGAGTGGCCCCTTTAAGTGGCTATAACTTCCTTAGAAAGAATTTTTGGAACCACGTTTATATAAAGAAAAAGTAATTTTTTTCGACATAGAACATCATGTAGAAATATTGCCCCCTAATTTCGGGACACACTGTATAGAAAATACTTCAAATATTTGATAAAATAAAGGTAGTATTATGTAAATATATGAAAGGAAGTTTTTAGTGGTTTTAGTATAACAAAGATATAGGTATACATATTATTGCGGAAATAAAAACATTTGTTTGCCTACTTATTTTGTTTGGTCTTTATTAAAATTTTATTCGAGAAAAAGAGTACAAATTTATGTTTTAAGACAAATAAGTTTTACTAAAAAATAATTGCTAATTAATATTATCTTAAAGTATTTAACCAGACCAAATTGATTACCTTAATACTGCTATAAAACTTAGAAATAAAATAATTATTGACAGTAAACTAACAATTGTTGCTTACTTATTAAGTTCCTCAAAACTTTCCAAGTAAAATTGAAGGTGAATATCATCTTCTTCATGAAGAGCAGCTTCAAATTTATCATAAACTATTTTGATATCAAACTTTTCGTTATTTTGTAGCGCCATATTTTTGGGAAAAACTACGAAAAATCAGATCTTACAAAAAATATTGTCAACGTCAAACTTTTAGGTTAACAAATAGTAGAGTTTTTTTAATTTTTTGGCGAGGTAACCCTAGATTCGAGGTAATCCTAGATTCGAGTTAATTCTTGGAAGTTTTTTGGCATAGACCATGTAAACCTTCGAGCATATATCTACTACAGGCAGCCTTCAATGCTAAATGGGCGAACAGACGTGCGAGAGAGAAAGCAAGTAAAACTACAAGCTATCTCTCTAACTCCGTAATGTGAGGTTCTGGAGGGGAATCACGGGGTCAGCATTAGCGGTTTTCTCGCCAAAAAAATTCCAAGAGTTAACTCGAATCTAGGGATACCTCGCCAAAAAACGCTATTATTTGTTAACCTAAAAGTTTGATGTTGATAATATTTTTTGTAAGATCTGATTTTTCGTAATTTTTCCCAAAAATATGACGCTACAAAATAACGAAAAGTTTGATATCAAAATAGTTTAAGATAAATTTGAAGCTGCTCTTCATGAAGAAGATGATATTCACCTTCAATTTTACTTGGAAAGTTGGACGGAATGACAAAGACAAATCGAAAGAAATCAAGTGAATAATTCTAAATACTAAATATACGGCCATAACAGAGCACCGCGCATAATGGCACATAGCCTCGCACGGAGCATCGTTTGCTAGGGATCAAAAAATTCAAAATCTTCCATAGATTATCTATAGGAATTTGTAACTTGATCCAAATTGTCACTCGTTAAATCCGTTAACAAAGCTTCACCTCCCGTTTTGCTTCTCTTTTTTAACAAATTAGAACACCCACTCTCTTTCTTTTATTTTCGGAATGTCCCTCAATAACTATAAAACTAGCGGCGCTAATTCGCGCCATTATTCTATGGCTAGAAATTGGCCTCAATGATTTTGGATCGAGGGGGATTATCCCTCTTTATCCTGCCTCATCTCGTGTAGGCCTGGACAGCCTTCGTAGGTGGGCCCCATCCGTCGTCTACCCCGACCGCAAATGCGGCCGGTGTAGGCGCTTTGTGGGACCTCCTTTTGTCCTGGCTGGGCCCCGCCGGCTAGGGCCCTTTCTTCTGGCGCTCTTCTTGCTTCGCCGGCTCGTCTGTGTAAACCCCGGGGGTAGTGTCATGTTTATGTGTGGTATGGTTGGGTAGGGTAGTGCGGCTATGCAGCCTGGGATGCGCTTTGCTAAGGTGGCCCTTAGGCTAGCGCG